CTGATGTTGGACGGGTTTACGTGGCCTACCACTTCGTGGCTGAGGTGCTGTCGTTCCCAAACACTTCCATGTTCTTACAATACAGCTGACTGTGGAATATTTAGGAGCGAGGAAATTTCACGACTGGATTTGTTGCACCGGAAGCAACCTATCACAGTTCCACGCTGGAATTCACTGAGCTCCTGAGAGCGACTCATTCTTTCACCAATGTTTGCAAAAACAGTCTGCTTGCCTAGATACTTGATTTTATACACCTGTGGCCGTGGAAGTGATTGGAACACCTGATTCTGATTATTTGGATGGGTGAGCGAACACTTTTGGCAATATAGTGTAGGTAGTCCTTGCTTAGTGACCATAGTTGAACTGGCAACACAGTCATTAAATGAAAGCATGGCTATGCTTATGATTTTACTGCGGTTTTCCTTTGTGTTATAGCAGTGATGGCCAACCTTTTTTGGCTGCCATGCGTGCGTGTGCTTGCCACACCCATAATGATATGCGCACGACACACACACTCCATGCGCTCAAGACCAGCACCCACACACATTGCTTTTGCCATTTTTTTTTTTTTTTGCCCTCCCCAGGCTCCAGAGGCTTTCTAGGAGCCTGGGAAGGTCAAAAACAACCTCCACACACCCCCTCCACCCCAGACATCCTCTGGAGGCCTCAGGAGCTTTCCTGAAGGCTCCAGAGGGCAAAAAACGGTCCTACGAGCAAACTGGAAATATGTTATCGAACTTCCGGTTTGCCCGTAGGACCGTTTTTTTGCGCTCCAGGGGCTTCAATGAAGCCTCCAGAGTGTGAAAAACGGCCTCAAAAGAAGGCCAAAGTCAGCTGGCCAGCGCGCGCATGTGTACTGTTCAGCTGATAGGGCAACACCTCGTGTGCCCTGACAAATGACTCCGCGTGCCACCTTGTAGCACGTGTGCCATAGGTTTGCCATCACGGTGTTATAGACTTGTGGAGGCTGTAAATGTGAGGATGGAACACAGTTATTTTTCCATCATCGTCGTAACTGTGAACACTCACTAAAGGAAGCAGTTGCTAAACGAGGACTACCTGTATTGAAATTTGTATTGCATTCAGAGGCATTGCCTTGTGGCTGTAGCACAGAGTTTCATGAAACTTTGCATATCCATGAGAGATTGCTAAAAGTCATTATGATTTTTTTTAAAAATGGCGGTGCATGCAGCCAGTAGCTATACTTATAATAATGCTTATGTTCCTGGAAAACCTGAACATTATTTCAAATGTTCCTCCAGGATAAAAGTTTGAGAAAGGGCGATCTAGCATTGGCACCTTCCCCTAATACAGTGTTCTTGTCCTTGGCAATTTCCAGATGTTGGACTTCAGTTCCCAGAATTCCACAGCCAGCATAGCAACTGATGAGAATTCTGGGAAAGCCCATGCATCCAGAAGTTACTGAGGTTAGGAAACATTGCCCTAAAATAGGAACAATAAAGCTGGAAGACACATGGAGGAAATCAGGGAAGGTGGCAAGCTCTCTATACAATGCAGTACAGTAGAAGTTTCACTAGGAATTCCTTGCAAGACTTTTATTCCAATTTTAATCCTTTCTCCAAACTCTGTGTATCGTAGAGCCTTGTGGTTTTGAAGTTGGGTTGATGGTTTGGTGCAAGCTCCCAAGATATCCCTACTGGCCAGCTGTGGTAAGAGTATTGATTATTTATTTACTTATTGAAGCAGTTTATATAGTTGCCCATCTTGCAGCTGTGACTTTAGGACAGGTGTCCCCAAACTTGGAAACTTTAAGACTTTTGGACTTCAACTCCCAGAATTCTGGGAGTTGCAGTCCACAAGTCTTAAAGTTTCCAAGTTTGAAGACCTCTGCACTAGGAAGTGCACAGAGTAACATCATGACCCCTTGAATTTACAAAGTAAATATCTAAAATAATAACGATGCAACAATTACAGCCAGAATATAAAAAATCGTTCCATTTTAATTAACAAAAGTTTGAGTTTGAGTTTTATTGAGCTTGTATGCCGCCCTACTCCCGGGAGACTCAGGGCGGCTAACAATAAGAAGGGAAGGGGGGTACAAAAATAAAAACAACAGTTAAAAATTCAGCAACAGTCATAACATAGGATGGAACTGGATAATTCAACAGCCCCAGGCCTGCCGGAACAGCCAGATCTTAGTAGCTTTACAGAAGGCCGGAAGAGTAGTGAGGGTCCG